CCTGGAGATTCACAACACCACAGTGTGCAATGTGCATTATTGCAAATCCTCTCTGCACATGTGTACATGCCAGCTTGTACAGGAGTGTGCTCTCTCTGGGCTTTGAAAGGTCAGAACTTTGCATTCCTGGCCCCAGAAATGGGCCATAAAAGGGTCTTTGATTTGTGGCTGTTTGGTGTGCTCAGAAAAGGGAAGGAGGATAAATGTTTGTGATCGGACAGCTGGATATGGCATGATTAGTTCATGGCTATAAACTAAGCCACAAGAAGTTTCACTCAACATGAGGGAGAGCTTCTTTATGTTGAGGGTGGCAGAGCACTGGGAAAGCTGCCAAAGGTCATGGAGTCTCCCTCTCTGGAGACATCCCAAACTCACCTGGATGTGTTCCTGTGTCACCTGCTCCAGGTGATGCTGACTTGGCAGTGGGTTGGACTGGAGGATCTCCAAAAGTCCTTCCCAAACCTAATGACTCTGTGATTCTGTGTTTTCCCACTACACATTAGGATGGGCAAGAGCGAGGCTTGGCAGGGCTGGTGTTTGATTTGTGATTCAGCAGCAGACTTTTGGTGGGACATTAAGTGTACAGTGATTTACATAAGCTATGCAGCTTTCTGCTTTGTCATCTATGAAATTGGGAGAAGTAGCCTGAAAATTATGTAGTGATGAGAAATGCCTTAGCAGCTCTGTGGTGCTGAGCAACAACTGTAATGAGGTAACAAGACTGTGAAACTTTGGTTTATTAAATTCTTTCCAATGTTAATGGTTAAAGTTTATGGGAACAGTATTAGAAACACATTTAGGTTTTTAAAAAGCTGAGGCATCATTTATTCTGCAGTGAGAAATGTCAGCCACTAGAAAGACAAAAATTAACTTTTTGTGTAACTATAGTGAGGATGAGCCTGTCACTGAATGAAGGTTGAGTTTGTTTTAGCATGTCCATTAGTCCACAGCAGACTGGGAGCTTTATATGGAATATTTCATGGAATGAACTATGAATTGTAATGCTTGGATGCCGCCTTTAAACAGGCACAGCCATCAGAAGGAGCTTCTGACAACCAGGAAAGGGCTAATGAAATTAATTGCAAACATTTTCTCAGCAAGAGAAAAAATCAAAGTAATCATACTTTTAATTTAATGATGGGAAAAATTCTGCTTTATTTTGTTTAAGAATACTAATTTTAAAAAACCCTAATCTGGTAACACCGTTTGCTTCAGTGTCCCCTCTGACCTTCTGAGGGAGCTATGAGAAGTCTTTCTTCTCTTCCTGGGATTTCTCCTCTTTTATCTACCACCCACCAGTCTCCTCACTTGATCTCCTTTGCCTGGTTGGCTGCTCTGAAGTTCTCCCTTGTTTTTGGTGCCTCCAGGCCATGGGGTAGGAGTTAAGCACAGCACAGCATGGACAGCTGATCCCCTCTTTGACAAGGAGAAGCAGCAGGACCTTTTCTCAACCACCGGGCTGGAAATTCTCAGTAGCTCCCTTTGGCTGTGAATTCAACAGAACAACTTAAAAGGTGTCTCCAGTAGCAGTTGCTTTCTCTGCCTTTTCTTGGCTAGGCATTGTTGTTATTTATTCTCCTACTAATTCCTGTGTCACTGCATGATTGTGTGTCATGTATCATGTGTGACACGTCACTAGTGGTTACTTGGATCTGTTCTTTTTCCTCCCTTAATCATGGACAGTGATGCTGAGCAGCATGGGCCCAACATGCAGCCCTGGGGCACCTGTCAGAAATAGTCTCTTGCATGAGGATTTCACCAGTCACCATTTAGTTATTTTGGATTTCACCAGTCACCATTTAGTTATTTTGGCTGTGAAATGTAGCACACTGACTTTATTCTGCCCTGTGAACCCACAGGCAGAGCTTTTGCATGGCATACTCAGGTGAGAAAAGGTGTGATGAAGAAAAGCCCTCTCAAATAATGAGCCAAAACCTGATTCTACCCAATGTTCTCATACACGCCATGCTGTTAGGAGTCGCCTATTTCAGTATTCAAAAAGGGCATCCAACAGGTTGGCTGGAAAGCCGAGCGCCTTGAAAATTCTGGAGTGGCTTTATTGCAGTGGGGTAAAAAGATGAGTTGATCAAAAAGCTTTTTAAAAGTGTAAGGTGCATGTGTGGGTGTGGTAAGTTCCAGTGACACTGTGTGAGACACAGCTGTGGGGGTGTGAAGAGAATGATCACAGTCCAGGTTAAGGCAGGATAATGTCACTGAACTCACTCCAGTGTGTTTGTATTTCATATAATCATAGAATCACCTGGTTCCAATCTCCCAGAGGTGGGCAGGGACACCTTCCCCATACCAGGTTGCTCAGAGCCTCATCCTGCCAGGCCTTGAACACTTCCAGGGATCCAGGGGCATCTAACTTCTCTGGGCAACCTGTGCCAGTGCCTAAGCACTCTCACAGGGAAGAACTCGTTCCTAATATTCAATATAAACCTAATTTCTCTCAGTTTGAAGCCATTCTCCTTTGTCCTGTCACTCCAGGCCCTTGTGAATAGTCCTTCTCCATCTTTCTTGTAGGCTCCCTTCAGGTACTGAAGGCCACAATCAGGTCACCCCTGAGCCTTCTGAACAATCCCAAATCTGTCTTTCCTCAAGGAAAGCTGCTTTATCCCTCTGATCATCTTGGAGGCTCCCTCTGGCCTCACTCCAACAGCTCCATGTCCTTCCTCTGCTGGACCTGAGCTGGACACAGCCCTGCAGGTGGGCTCTCAGCAGAGGGGCAGAATCTCCTCCCTTGACCTGCACTCCAGTGTGAGTAAAAGTAAAATTTGCATTTTAACCTGTAAAGAGTAGCTCCTGGAAAAAGTAATAAATTTGAATGTGCTGCAGTAACAGATCTCCATTAGCTGCAGAAATGGGGTTTGGCTGCATGTCACTGTGTAAAGCTACTTCAGGTTTTCACCTTGCTCTAACATTGTCAGTCCTCTGAGGAATTGCTCCGTGTTTACACAGCACTTTGCTTTCCTGGCTGATAGAACAGCTTGTTTGCCACAGCAACCCCAGTGGTGACTCTGCTGCTCAGGCACAAGAGATGTTCACATAAATTTTGGAATTATTGGTGTTTTAATGCAAAAGGAATCTGATGTAGTAATGAGATGCTAAGCCAAGAAAGCAAGGTGTGCTACAAGCTCATTAACCAAGATTCCTGTGCAATCATCTTCAGGAATGCTCTTGTTTCATCTGTTGGTTTTGCTTTTCTATGCTTATGCATGCACTTAGGGGGAAAAAAAACCTTTGAGAAATAGAAGAATACAGCTGAAGATGCTGAATGACATTTTTAGCCTAGTGTTTGACAAAGACATTGCTCATGAAGACATTGCTAATTACAATTCATAGTTTATTCCATGAAATCATCCATATAAGGCTTCCAAAAACAACCAAAACCAACCAAATCCATTTTTCCTTTAAGGGAGGCTGCTTTAGACCTGAAGGTTCCTGGATGCTTGTCGGGGCTCATGCTGCTGTGCCACTCGCCTTCCTTATGGGAAGAGTAACATTTTGTGACCAAGACAAAGCTTCATAAGAGCAGCAACAGCCAAATTACAAATTACTCTCCTTTCTGACTAGTCCTTTAAAGGAAAATCTCTCAGATGTGACTCCCAGGGGGCTGAAGTCAGTGTGGGTGTTAAGCAACATGGCTTGGCTATTTGGGTAAAATGGCGTAGTTTTGATTAGGTAGGGAATTGGAGGATAAAGGGATTTATTTTTCTCAGAACTGGGCCTAGAATAGCAACATAAAAACCTGGATCAAATAGCTGAAGCCAATATCTTCCCCTTGAGGCTTTCTTTTGGTTCCTTTGTAGCACATCAACTTAAAAGAAACCTAAACTCCAGTTTCTGAAGGTTGCAGAGTGGGAGGGCAAAAAATAAAAAGGATGTTTGGAGTTCACAGATGCAGCCTCTTAGGAAACTGTGGAATCAACCTGTCGTCCTTGGAGTCATGGCTGATAATTCCTATGTGCCTCTTGGTTTTTATCTAAATTATCTGCTGGCACATCTGCAATTTATTGATGCAGTGTGACATTGGTACAATGCAGTCTCTTTAACATGTTCCTAACTCTCCTGGTACTTAGGAAGGCAGCATGGACAGGAGAGGAAAAAAAAAGATGGAAAAAAAAAAAAGCTTTTTTGCTACTTTTTTTGCCCTGGATGTGTTAATCCTCTCCAGCCTGCTGAGCAGGTCAGGCTGTTGGCTGGACATTGCTGACCAAGATGCTGATGCAGACACTTCCACCCACCTGCAGATAATCTGTCCTCTGTGCGTATCCCTAAACTATATTTGGAGTGAAAAGCAGAGAACAGATACATAAGTGCTTATTTTAACAGCTCTCACTGTAAGGAACTGCTCCTGCTGAGTGGGCATAGGGATGTGTGCTGCTTCTTGCTCCAAACAGAGCCTGGAGGCCCTGGGGGGTGACAGAGTGGGTGGACAGAGCCCCTGTGACACAGGGGATGGGGAACCTGCCCCCAGGTAAGGTAGGGGACCAGCAAAGACCTGACCCTGCACCCACAGAGCTGCCTCCAAGCACCAGCTCTGACTTCAGTTTCTGTCCCAAATCTTATTGGATTTGCAGTAACTTGTTTTAGCCTTTCATCTTGCTTTCCTGGATCTTAATTTGCTTTGCAATACATCTTCTGCCAGGTTGTCTAAAATGTATTGAAGGAAACAACACTAATGCCCCCCCCCAGATAGGACAACAGAAGAATAGAAAAGAAAACAATTCCCTTAAAGGAGAGAAAACAGGGTGGAGGAAGGGGGAGAAGCAATGAAAGAAGAAAGACTTGGATATTTTGTTAAATATATTTGGTTAGGATTGTTTTTCAAAGAGCTTTATGTTTTAATAGTCTTTGGTTAAAAGGAAAAACTGTTTTATTAAGAATACTGCTTCTACTTATTTTCTGTAAAATTAATATTTGCACAGAAAAAATATAGCTTATACTTTGCATACTAATTTTGACTGCTTATCTTTGCTCCTTTTATTTTTTTAAAGGAAATTATACCTGGATCCCTGTAATCCTAAATTCAACATGAAGAAGGGACCTGAATGCTACTACACATCTGCCTGCTGATTTCCAAACCATCTTATAGAATTTCCAAAATAGCTTATGCAATATATGACCTGGAGAGAAGGCACATTTTCTTCCAGGAAAGAAAAAGGAAGAAAGGTCAAGCTTTACTGCCTCCCTCTTCCCAGAGGAAAGATGGAATATGGAGGCTCAAAGGCCTGCCACGGTGGCTACAACATTTCAACCCTGGAGGGGCAGAAAGAAGCAAGGAAAAACACCCCTCTAAGGTAAGTGTGGAAAATGTATATTTCATGACTGGCCTTTTGCAAATATTAAAATTAATATTATATGTGTTATGTTAGAAAGTTATACTGTATTAATTTTTTTAAGTACTGTGTTAAATATAGTTTTAGGTTATAAGATAATGCTAAAATAGAAACTATGCCATGTAAGATACTTCTTTTAAAGAGAGGACTTGCACCAAGATAGCAGCCACAGGACACTTGAAAGAAAAAGAAATTATTGCTCTCTTATCGAGTTCTTCCCACCTTGCTCAGCCCTGAAGGTGCTGTCAGGGTTCAGAGGAAGAAGCTGACACTGACCAGACAGAATCCTGTGTTTGAATGGAATTTATGCAACATGTGTGAGCTGTATGAATATGCAACAGGCTGTTGCTTTTAAGGGTTAATCCTCTATTAATGTGTGTCCTTTTTTGGGCTTATTTTGCCCAGAAAGAGGTACCCAGACTGTCCTGTAACTCTTTGTTTCTGTTGTCTCATATTGCCCTAATCCCAATTGTTCAAATTTTTATTACTCTAATTCTATTAATATTTTCATAATCATTTTATTACTATTCAACTTTAAAAATTTTAAAAACAGGTGATTGGCGTTTTTCACAGTTAGGGTGAGAAGAGTCTCCCTCCCATAGGCCTCTGTGGATGCATGTTAATGTTTTAAGTTTCATTGGTTTACTGAGTTGATGTCACCCCATTCAGCTCCCTTTTACCATATTTGTATTCCTCTAGAATGTTCTCCCCTCTGCTGATCCCCATTGGCCCCAGTGTTCTGCCCCTGTTATCCCATTGGCTCTCCTAGTTTGCTGCCCCTCCCGTGCACAATTTTCTCCTGTTCCCATTGGTCTTTGCCCCATATTTAATCCTGTGTCCTTCACCCTGCTGTGTGTTTGACCCTGGACTCTCTTCGTGATGGTAAATGGTTTTAGGATTGCTGAACAAAGACTCATCCCTCGCCTCCTTTGTCAGCTCTTTTAACAAATGTGCTGTAGGCCCTGAAAGTCCAGGTCACTCTCTGCGATTTGTTGAAGTGCACTGCTTCAATGGAATACTCAAAATCCAAAGCCATCAGTCAGAGGAAGTATATAATGAGCATTTTTTTAAAAAACTTATGTTTAAGTAACATCTTGGGCTTTGGCGACTTGTTTCACAATGTGTTGAGTTTTGTTGCTTTGGCAATGAAATGGTTTCTGTTCTAGACTTGCACTTTGCGGTGGGAAATATTGCTACAACAGGAATGGGATTTGCCTCTACTCTGGGAAAACTTTCTCACAGCTCATGTCATTGTTGTAGAGAATTTTAGGGGTGCCCAATTCAGCCATGTCCCCTAGGCACTGTTCCAGGATATTCCTGTGACAGGTTGGACATGGCTCCAGGTCTGCCAAGAAATTTGCGTTGTTGTATTTTTCTAGTGGGGCACTATGTAAGAGGCACCAGGCAGCCACTGCCCATCTCCCAGGGTGAGAATTCCCTCCCTGGGCACATGAGAGCCCTGACCAGGAGGAGCAGTTGGATGTACATCGCTTGTGACACTGTGCTTGAATCAAAACCTTGGGACCAGAAGTGTGAAGCAGTTTCTGTCCATGCTTTCTTTAGGAGAGAATTTTTCCCTTACTGAACTGCCCCACACCTTTGCAGGCCTGTTCTGGCCAGCAGACTGCTGCTTTCTCATTAGCATGATTCATTTTTAAAGAGATGCGCTACAACAAGCACAAGGAAGCTCTGAAGCCTTAACCAGAGGCCATGAAATGTTGTGTTGCATCTCCTTTTGTTTTCAATTACTGCATAGAGAGAAATGCATTAAAACTCAAAGCAGCAGTGACAGAATGATCCTGGGTGAACAGGCTGAATCAATGGGTAAGCAGTTCCTGTAAGATTAAAAAAGGCGTTAAAATAGTCAAGCTTTGTGCTGCTCTGAAGCTCACAGGCATGACATTTTTGCTGGTTTTATTACATTTTTTGTGTGTTTCAGTCAAGTAGACAGTGTCAAATTCAGATAAAGCAAATTCCAACGTCCTAAAGTCAAATGATGATATAATGTAACATGTACAAACAGTGAGTGGGTATTTTTTTTTCTTTTCATTCACTCAGAGTATTTTTACTACAGCTGAAAATTTAAGCATGTGTGTCACTGCAATTTAGAAACAAGCTGAGGTAGGTAGATAGGTAGGTATTTACTCAAAATTATTGGAAAATATGAAGACCACTTGTAATTTCCAAAGATCTGTATATGTTGGACAGCCTGTATGTCCATCTGAAGGCATTTTGCTGTAGTATTCTTTATCTTTTCTGCATTTGGATGAAAAAAAATCAGTTTATTTTGATACTCTATTTCAGGAGAGGAATTGCCTTTTCAGGTAGTGGGGTTTCAGAGTAACTGCCAAATGTAATGTTCTATCATTGTCTTGCTTAGGGAAATGTGGTCTTGCCTAAATTTGTTCTGTGACACGTCATCTGGAAATATTTCAAAACAAAAAGCTCGTCTTGAAGTGTTTGGCTTCTGCACTGTAGATTTCTGAGCTCTCACCACAACAGGATCTGAACCTCTTCCAGCAGCACGTTAAACACCATGACAAGCATCTGCCACGTTTTGTTTGCTTTTGCATCCTCCCCTCTGGGGAAAAGGCAAGTGCAGTGGCATGGCCAATTTTGGTCAGGTTTCTCTCTGTATGAGACTGGTTTGGGTTTTTAAAGCAAGAGGCATTTTTCTGAACTCCAGTGAGAAGAGGCAAGGTGGAAGAAACGCACGGAGTTCTAGGAGAGGCAAGCAGGAATATTTGTGCAGTGTGGGTGATTGGTGCTCACGTCCCTCACTCTGAGCTGGGAGAATGGCTGATCATACTGGGATTTTTTTGGTATGGAGAGAAGCAAAGCTGAGAACAAAGGGCAGGTGTGCTCATTGCTAGATCACAGGAGATGGAGTGAGAGCTGGCTGGATTCCAGCCTCAAACGCAGGAGCACCCCTGGCCACGGCAGGGGATGAGCAGAGGAGTCACTTCTGGAAACTGTGGTGTCAGAGCTTTGGGATTGCATTCACACTTACTCACAGGTTGTCCAAAGTGAGATTTTTCTGGCTGAGAGATGGCAAACACGAAGCTATTCTGGGACTGCTGGTCCTTGTGCTAGAAGGGCTTCAGCTTTGAGAGAGCCTGGAAATCCAGCTCTGATGTGCAGCCCTTCTGCTGGCTCAGGTCGCAGGAGCTGGACTTCATCTGCATTGCTAACTGTGGTGATCTCATTACAGAACCTGTGTATCCATTGCCAGTGTTGCTGTTCCAAAACAGAACTCGTTTAGAGTTGGAATGTAACAGCATCAAACGGACCAGATGGAGGCACAAATAGTTAAATTGTCCTGAAAATCCAATTTGCCAAAGGACAGAGGAGTTTTGATAACTGATACTAAAGCACTGTTGGGTATTTGCCTTTGTTCTCCATGAGAGGTGGCCAGGCCTCCAATGGCTGGGAATGGGAAGCCTGGGAAGCCCTGGCTGTTCTCACCTCCACCAGTCTGGCACAGGAATCAGTGCTCCAGCCCTCAGAGGTGTCAGCCAGCCACTGGCTTTGCTGCCCTGTAAAATGGCACAGTGCTGAAACTTATCTGGACTCATTCCTAAATACAAAGCTGCTTTACAGAATAAACTGGACACAAATTACAAACATCCTCTGTCCTTTTCAAAACCTCACACACAGCTGCTGGTACTCACTAGTCCTGGAATACATACTCCAGACTTCAGACCAGCATTTTCTGAACAGTTCTATAAAAAAGGCAGTGTACTATGTAAAACAGCTCTTTAGCTCCTAAAACTGGGAGATCCCAGCTTCTTAAATTCTCTGTAAAATATCCAAAGCAAATATTGTCTCTGGATCGTAAGTTTTATTAACATCTTGAATTTGCATTATTTTTATTTCTCAAAAAAACATGCAGTGAATTGCACGCTGGGGATGGTGGGACAGGAGACTGTGTCAGCAACATTTTGAGGAAGAATGCAAATGGTTTTGGATAGAGAAAGGAGGAAGAGATTCCCAAGGGCAGGCAACCTTCAAAGGCAGGGAGGAAAGAGAGAAGTGAATAATAGGCTGTGCAGGCAAAAGCAAAATCTGAAATCAAACTTAGCATAAGATTAGCAAAAATGTCTGCATTTACCTCACCTGGAATGATGGTTGGCAGTTGGCAGCAGTTCCTCTCCATGGTGTGCAGGAGAGGTGCCCTCTTGTTTTCTGTCTTCCAGCTCATGAGTCAGCTATATGTTTCCAGGGATGATTTATCATTTCCAGCTGAAAGGCACATGCTGAGCTTTAACTTACTCCTGTGGAGTGACTCCTGCTGCTTCCTAAATGCTTTAGTGTCTATTGCAGAGCTTCCCTGGCTGCTCTATAAACAACAAATGGTTAACAGCCAGTGAGGAAGGAAATAGTTGGTTAACTAATAATCCTAGTAAAAATTGGCCCTTGATGATGTGCAGACTCTGAGATGCCTGTGATGGGCACCAAATTTTCTTTTAAGCAGTGTGCTTTTTATTTCTGCTGGTGTTGGCTACTGCAGAGTGTGATTCTGCAGTCAGGAGTTTGTCATTAACTGCTGCAAGGACAGACTCAGCCTTCAAAAGGTGGTGGCTTATGTTGTTTCTATCTTTTCTTTTTTTTTAATTTTTACTAGTGGCAAAATAAGCTAAACTTGCAAAATGAAAACAGTGAGAAGAGAATGATGTGTCTGTTGATCATGATTATGCTATGAGAGGAACACTGGCATAATGAAGGGAGGATTTCTAACTATGCTGTGGTCTGTTTTCACATGTTTGTGGCAATTAGGTACAGAAGTGGGCAGATTGTCACTGATTTTAGGCAAAACCCCTGAGCAGGCACGAAGGAGTTGAAATGCTGGCAGGAAACAGTTCATCCTTTGCAGCCCACCTCTGCATTTCCAGCAGGATTAAACTCACCCATCAGCAGCGCATGCACAGCGTGGAGCTGCACGAGCAGTGCCCAGTCATTGTAATTTCTCATGGAAGTAAAGGAGGGAAGGCACTAAACTCCCAAGAGCCTCCAACCCAGTAGGTTCCATTGTAAGAGCCTGAATGAGAGATGTGGGACTCCAGGGGCTCTCCAAAATGCAGTTTATTCCATCCAAGAGGTTACAGCAGCCCAGGGAGGTGGGTGACAGAGCTGTGCCTGCAGCTGTCAGCTCCAGCTGCAGGCAGGCCTGCAGACCCTGAGTTTAGGTTACAATGCATTATGTACTTTTCTTTGCTGAGCATCTTAATATGGTAGAACCAGTCTATACCTTAACTTTTATCTATAGCCTGTCATAACTGCTATAATTACCATATTCATGTTACTGTTCTCCAATCACTAAAAGTTAATACATTACAGTTTAAGCTAGAAGATGTTTTTCAGTTTTCTTGCCGTGGAAAATTCTGAGACCTTTTTCTACTTGCCACATTGGCAGGCTTGTTTGCCTGTGCTATCTTTCTGCTTGGAAGAAACATTTTCTTGTTTGAGGTGGGTTTATCCTTTGCTCTTAGTCATAAAAACCCCTTCTAACTAACACACCCTTTGCCTCCTTGGTTATCCAGTAAGACTGGCTCAGCAATTGTCAATCTACACATCTATTATTCTTCTATATCAAAAATTGCTTCCATCTCTATTCCTTCTTCAGATTCTACATTTGAAAATCTTTCTGCTAAGCATACATATCTGTGAGACTTTCTTGTCAAAGTTTCATCCTTCCCAACATACCATATCAGAAAGCTTTGTATCAACTTAGCAGCCTTTCTGCATGTGCACAGAGTGTGGAGTCTTTCACCTAAATTTTGCTTGTCTTTGGTTTAGTGGTCCCAGGCAGATCAGTAGTTCTTTATCACAAGACCTCCAGTCTGTGGAGGATACAACCTCCTGTGGTCTGTTGGCAGGATAACTTTGAGGGACAGCACTGGGAAGCCATTCTTCCATGGGATAAAAGAGTTCCAGCTCTTTGATGGATATTGAAAGGCAGATCCTTGTGCTGCCACTCAGCCAGTTTGAAGGCTGGGACCTTGAGCCTGCAGCTCCCTGCACAACCAGAGCCTGGTTTCTCACATGTGTCAGTCCTGGATATCCTCCCTTCACTGAGCTTGAAATGCATGTTTTCTCCTTAAAAAAACATCAAGGCTGCCTGTTTTCAGTGATTCATGCATGTACAAACCATGATCAGTCTTGCGGATTTGCTCCAGGTTTTGTTGTCTTAATTGCCATCCCAGGTGGCTGTTAATTAATTAGTTAATTAGCTGCATGTTTCAGGGTGCACCACAGTCATGTATAAATAAATCATTACTGAATAAAGAATGCACAGATATGATATATTTGATGATGTGGCATAAATAGTTTGGTTTGACCAGAACAAGTGAAATCCAAGTATTATTGGTGACCATATGTGGTTCTTTATATTAATTGTCTTCTTCTAGATTTGGTTTTTGGAGATTTGGGAATAAGGAGTTATCTAAGGATTAGGTATTAGGAAGAAATTGACTGTGAGGGTGGTGAAGCACTGAAACAGGTTGCCCAGACAAGTTGTGAATGCCCTGTCTGTGGAAGTGTTCAAGGCCAGGTTGAATGGAGGTCTGAGCAGCCTGGTGTAGTGGAAGGTGTCCTTGTCCATAGCAAAGGGATGGAATGAGGTAATCTTTAGGATCCCTTCTTACCCAGACCGTTCTGTGATTCTATTATTTTAATTTCATTTTCAGACCAGCCTGTGCTTTGTGAGTTTTGATGATCTTCCCTCTTTCCTTGCCCAAAGGAAACCTGTTTGTGACATCTGGGGAAGATGATACAAAGCCAGCAACATCTCCTGTTGGTAAGGCACCACTGATTATTTTCTGCTCTTGAGCAGCCTTCCAGTGTTTCCCAGCTGTTTTCTATGTGTCACCCTTGAAGGATGGTGTGACCGTGTTCACAGGGGTCTTAGGATGAGGGAAGAGACGAGGATCTGACTCCATGTTTCAGAAGGCTTGATTCATTATTTTATCATATATATTACATTAAAACTATACTAAAAGAATAGAAGAAAAGGTTTCATCAGAAGGCCAGCTAAGAATAGAATAGGAAATAATAATTACAAAGATTTGTGGCTTGAACTCTCTGTCCAAGCCAGCTGGGCTGTGATTGGCCATTAATTACAAACATCCAACATGGGCCAATCACAGATGCACCTGTTGCATTCCACAGCAGCAGATAATCAGTATTTACATTTTGTTCCTGAGGCCTCACAGCTTCTCAGGAGGAAAAATCCTAAGGAAAGGATTTTCCATAAAAGATGTCTGTGACAGGATGGATGAAGGCAGCCAGAGCTCCTGCTAGCTGGGGACAGATTGAGGGGTCTAAGCAGGAAGCCAAGCATGTGTTCTCCTCTCCCACCACCAAACCTCCAAGTCCTTTCCCTCTGGGGTGCCTGTCCCCAACATGGGTATGTCCAGGCCTGAATCTGTTGGTTTTTCATCCCTCTGCTCTTTCCACAGTCAGTCACTTTGCCAGTTTACATCCTTCCCTTGCAGGGCTGTGCTGCTATCAGGGAAAAAGAGTGGGATGGGGGTGGCAGAGAGGATCAGTAGGATGTGGCTCTTAGGGACAGTTTGGCATCCTACTACCCATGGACACCCACCTCAGTGGGGCCAGGAGGTCCCTGTGGATGGGAGGTGCATTCCATAGAAATTCCATCCACCCCATCCCTGCAGTCAGGCTCCTCTGACTGTTGCCTCACATTTCATTTCCAGAGAACTACAGAGGATTTTCTGCTGTTAAATTCTGTCTTGCTGACGTGTTTGTTGAATCAGTGCCTCACTCAGCCTCAACCTGAAGCACAGCTTGGGACTATTAGCACAGTTCCTAATTTCAGCTGTGCTTATGAGCCTTCAGCTTGAGTTTGTTCTCCCACTGGAGTCACCGTTTACTTCAGCATAATTCTTCTAAATTCATATCCATCCTCTCAACACACACAGACCTCACAGAGATTTTCATGCATTTAAATGAAAAAGCAAAATAGTTCCCTTTCCTCATTCACATCATGCAGCATTGCCCTTCTCTGTACCTTGTCTTATTTCAGAACTGTCATGCAAATAAGCCCAACTTAAAAAAAAAATCATTGAAAAGCATGCATCTTATCAACCTTTTTTCTCCTTCTCATGCTGTATCTGCAGGAAGAGATCCCTTCTCCTTCCTGCCTTGTATTTCAGATGTTTCTACTCCTTTCCTTACTGTGATCCAGTATCTTTTTGGTTCCCCAGTTGCCCAGGAAACAAACTTTGACTCCCTTTTCCCTGACATGTAGTAGTCACTATTCCATGAAGCTACTGTTTCCTGAAGTGTTTTATTGTGGGTTTTTTCCCCTAAACTACTCCAGAAGGGGGAATTCTCCTTTTCAGTCCCTGTACTGGGGCACCCCCTTTCCTTTCCCCACCTGAGTCTGTCTGCATGAAGCAGTCATTGCATTTTCTACCTCCATCACTGCAGTGTCTGACTGAACTCAGCATTATTTCTTTGAGTGTACTGAACAGTCATCCTTCTGCAAGGCATTCTGCAAGGATTCCCATGGGATTGCCATGCTGGGCACAGAACAGAGATCCTCTTTGGCAGACACTAAAGGTGGAGACGGTGGATCCAGCTCTGGGGTTCGTGGTGGGCAGTCCCTGGAGCCAGAGGGTGTCAGCAGGAAGGATCATTTGTCCTTCCTCTTGGCTCAAGTGCACAGCGCTTTTTATTGGCTCTCCCTTGTTATTGACACCCTCCCAGAAGAAGAAAACCACCAGAAAATGGGGGGAAAAAAAAAAAAACCAACAAAAAATCCATAAACAACCAACCGTAAAAATTATCCCAGGATATATGATGGGAGAGGGATTTAAAGAATAAAATTTTCCACAGGTTGTCCCTGTGGAGCAAGAATCCTTGTTCTTGCTGCAGCTGGGACTCCTTGGGAGGGAATGCAGAATGTGGATGTTGGTGTGGCTGTGGTGGGGAGTTTGCACAAATCACAGGTGGAAAGAGCGAGAGGCACGGGAGCAGGTATGGAAGAACAACTCAAGGCTTTTTTGCCTGTAATCCTCTCATCTCTGATATTCCCTACAGAGACCCCTGATGGCCAAGAGACTGCGTTTTCCAAAATGAAATCTGTCCTGGAAAAAGATCTCCAGTTTGTGGTAAAAATAACTATTACTTCAGAGGCCCATGGAAAAGCACCTGCCTGGGTAGCAGGAGACTGGCAAATCACAGATACAAAAATGGATGTGACACCTTCTGTGCAGAACCTCCATTGGTGACGTTGAGCTGTCCCATCTTCCCTTTTTCCGTGGAGAACTTTGTATTATCTTGATGTTTAGTGACACATGGAAGGTAAAATGGTCTAAATCTTAATGATTCATGGGATGGGGACTGTTTGTCAGCTTCAATAAATCTGTTAGCCTCTTTGACAGTGAGGAGGGAAGAGCTGTTTTGAATTCATGCTATGTTTTAAAAGTTTCTTTCAAAGAGTACTGGGGTTTTTTTTTTTTTTTCTCTCATGTTTCTCAGAAGAAACCAGCCTGCCAAACTGCTCCAGGAAGCTCTTCTGAGATAGAGACATCCATCTCTGTGTACGGTCTGTACTTGTGAAGCAGAGCACAAAGCCCTTTTTCCATTCAATCCATATTAATTACCTCTCTGCAGCTCCTCTCTAGTTTCCACTCATCCCAGGCCCCAGAAACTCATGTGGCTGCATCTCAAACAAACCAGAGCCTTTCACCAACCACCTGGTAAGTCAACACTCCCAAAATAAAAATAAATAGAAAGGTTTACTGCTGAAGGATTGAAGCTTTCCACACTTGAAAGCTGAATGCCGTGGGACTGTGGACTAAGGCGGATATTTTTAGTGCCATCAATATCTCTTGGAGTTGATATCTCCCAAGACAGATGGTTGTTTCCCACAGAACGTTGTCAAATGTTTGCTCAGCCAAGATCAATTTTGTTCCAAGTCCTTTCCCACCTTCTGGTGAAATACATTTCACTTGCCAGACAAAAAATTACAGGAACAGCACGAAGCCTTGCCACTGTGGAAGGTTCTCGTCCCCATGGCTCTCCTGTGTCCTTTGGCAGTGTGACTGACATCTCTCTCAGGGCTAGGGGAGAATAAAGGATGCACTAGTGGTGTGGGCACATCAGGGCTCAGGTCTGTGTCAGAGGCTGGTTTCCTGTGACACCTGCACATCACCTCTCAGCCTGTCAGAGGGCCTTTGCTCCTCATCTCCTGGATCCTGAGCTCTAAACCTGCACGCCCCAAATTGATCTTGTAAGAAAACGAGGTGCACCGGGGAAGGAGGAGCAGAAGTGGCTCTGAGGAAGGGGCACAGAGAAGCTGAGTTTGTGTCCATTGCTCAACAGCTGCAGCTTTTCTTTTAATTACAAGCCCGAGTGAGCCTGGAGACATGGGAGCTCTTTGAGGTGTCCGGCAGCGTGTCACGGACATATTTTAGGAAAAATCCTTTCATTAGGATCTTTTCTGAGAAGCTGAGAAGCTTCAGCTTTTGCTGCTTTGGAATGTGATTTGGAGAATTGTTTACCCAGCATGTGAAATTGTTTTTACTTGATGACCAATGACAGCCACCTGTGTTGAGGCTGAGCAGTCACAGGATTTTATTATCATTCTTTTCTATTCCTTGCTAGCCTTCTGATGAAACCCTTTCTTCTATTCTTTTAGTATAATTTTAATATATCATTTTCTTTTAATATAATATATATATATCATAAAACAATAAATCAGCCTTCTGAAACATGGAGTCAAGATCCTCATCTCTTCCCATGCTGGGGTTGTCTGCAAATTCAACAGGTAACATGCATGGCTCTGGGGGCATTTTCAGGTGAAATCAGTGGGGAGCAAAGGACTTTTCAAAGGCTGGTGTGGGATGTATTTATTTTCTTTTCCTTGCTGGTTGCTATTTTTAGCTGAGCCTGGCTTGTCACAATGTAAGAGACAGAGCTTGTTCTTTCCAAAGTACAAGTTCCCTTATAAATGAGAAATTACAGCAGGAGTGACAGCAGCAGTTTCTGAAATGTTATGATGATTCCTTCCTGCCACACTTACATCTTGTTGTGGCTCTGTATTAGAAAATTGTTAATACATGGTTGTTTTCTAGCAAGGACTTGGCAATCCAGGCTCAGCAGGGCATCTCTCATTTTTATTGCTTCATACACAAAAATAATACTGATTTAGTTTTGTAACTCTAAATCCTTTTGAAAATGCTATGAAATCAAATTCATTCTTCTGCACACTGAAAGGTACATTGGATCATCCAGAATATTCTTTCCATGCTGATCCATAATCTTTACTATTAGAGATTCAGAGGCGGGTGAGGCTCTCATTGGAAGGGAAATCAATGTATGATGCCCAAAAATATTTTTCATCCTTAATTTAGCTGTCAGAGTGATCTATTCACACCCCCCTGACATCTTAAACAACCCCTATATCCTCAGCCTGCTTTTGCAGAACAGGATTATAGTTGAAAGAAACGTGCAGGCCTTGATATTGTTTGGGATTTGCCTGGGATTTATTAATATTTCTCTCCTGCATTTTTCTTAGGATTACAGGCCCTTGATCCTTCACTCATGTAGGAGGCATTTTCAGCATCTTCTCTGTTATCAAAGTACTGTGGATGCATAACCACATATTCATACATATATGCCCAACTTATCACTGAATTGTTAACCTGCAGAAATCACTTTCTGTCTCCTGGCAAAGTGGAAGCCTCAGTGTAAGGCCTTTTCTTATATGGGCTTTATTTCCTATATATTTTTTTTTATTATTATGGCAACCTGTCAATGGAAGCAAGGTTTGCAGTGTCATAGAGACTCCTGGGAGGGAGCAGATGTGAGGGTAATCAATCCTTTGGCCTGCAGGTGGGTTTGGGACAAGCCAATCCCTGTCCTATTGTACAAAGCCTTCGTGAGCAAAGAGAAATAAGGGGAATGCAATGATTCCATATATAAAAATCTGGGAAAGGAAAACCCAAAACATACAGAAACTTTGTGTATGTGTTTGTGTAAGATGGTGGTTTTTATTAAGCCTTATTTTATCTATGTCATAGAATCACAGAATGGTTTGGAATGGACCTTAAGGAGCATCCAGTTCCAACTCCCCTGCCATGGTAGGGACACTTTTCACTAGACCAGGTTGCTCCAAGCCCCATCCAGCCTGGCCTTGGACACTTCCAGGAATGGGGCAGCCACAGCTTCTCTGGACAACCGGTGCCAGGGCTTCAACACCTTCAGAGGGAAGAATTTCTTCCTAATATTTAATTTGACCCTGCCCTGATAGTTGAAGCCATTCCCTTTTGCCCTGTCACTACATGCCCTACTTAGCAGCTGGCTTCTCTCCTCTTTTGGGAGGTTTCTGATCTACTTTAAACTGTAAGGAGGGAAACAATCCCTCTTCCTTTCTCCTTAAGAATATTCATGTGCAAAGGTCAAGTTCCTGCTCTTACATCTTTGCTTGGGAGTTTATCTCCCAGATATATTAATTCGTGGAACATTGTCATTGTTAGGGTCCAAATTAAGCTGCCTATCCTGTAAAGGATCCCCCCTGCCTGAAGCAAAACAGAACAGTTAATGCATTTTTTATAAACAATGCCATTAAGGATGCATAAAAGGAGTGTTGTAAATATCAAAGCAAGACTATAATTTTTTTTTTCTTACTCCATAAAACATAGGAGAGAAATCTACAGGTCAAATTTGTTCTGATGCAAATTAATTAATTAACTAATTAATCTGATGATTGTTTGATTTCAAGAGCTTTGTCCATTTCTTTTACTATAGTATTGGAGTTTCTTCTTGAGCTCTGGAACAGCCCTGCTAGGATGTTTGAAAATGTGGCAAGTTCAATTATGGGACTGTGCAATAGTATAGCCATAAAAACATTTGCATGTGAACAGAGCAAGAACAGAGGACATATATGAATATTGCCAGACATGTTGAGGTCTCCTAGAGCTGCTCCCTGGCCAAGGCAGGTTTGACACAGAGCTCAGGGCTTTATTTGTGGGACTCCTGTGAGCGATGTTGGCCCAAGGCTGGGTGCATGCATCTCCCTGCTAGGCTGTTATCCCACCTAGTGGCTGCTCTCCCATCCCACAAGGTAATTTTCTTCCAGGATATTGGTGGAGCAAGCCAAGGCTTGATGTATTCCTGCAGTTAGCAGTGGATGTGCTTCCACGTTGCTTGGTCAGGTGCTCAAATGTGTGCCTTTGCCTTAACTGTGTTACACCATGGACAGGTTTCATGTTCACATCATCTGGATTTATGCATCAAATACAGATGCCTGTCTAGTACAGCCAACTGTCCAGTGTGAGTGCTCTGCATCACTCTTCTTTCTTACACAATCACAGAATTGTTTGGGTTGCAAACCCAAGATCTTGGAGTCCAACCATTACACAGCACGGCCAGCTCAGCACTAACTCATGCCCCAGGCACAACATCTAAGTGGCTTTTAAATACCTCCAGGGCTGGTGACTCCACCCCTTCCCAATGCTTAACACCCATTTCAGTGAAGAAGCTTTTCCTGTCATCCAATCTAAAGATCCCCTGGTGCAACTTGAAGCCATTTCCTATCACTTGTCACCTGGGAGAAGACACCCACAACAACCACTCTGTGACTTCCTCTTAATTTGGGCACATGAGATAATGTGAAGAAGTCCCTCTCTGTCCCGACTTGTGGGACCATCTCAAGTTTCCCTAAGTCCCTAACAGCAGGATTTATCTGACTTATTGACTTTTATCTTCTCTGCTGTCAATACACAGGTGTGCACAATGCCCCTACTCACTGTCCATCCACTTCCCCATCAGCCCAACACTGGCCTGACTGAAGGCAAAAATAAAATTTGATTGCCTTCCAAAGAAGGAGGGTTCAAGCCAAACTTCTGAGTTGGAATCACATGAAAAAAATATCCTTTTAAGCATATTTGATGACAAAAAGAAAAAAAGATTATTTACCAAAGCACCGCAAGAAACTTCCCCCAGCTGGACAGGGATAATATTTATAGTGAGCCTTTGAGAAGGAGTCCACTGTGAAATCCTCTGTTTCTTCCTTCCAATCCTGCTCTCTGCCCCTCTATTTCTATGCCACATTTTCCTCTGCTTTCCAAATGTTGCTTTCTTCGTGAAAATAAGAAAAAATCTGTCCCCACTTAATTCTTTAATTCACCGCACTTGTTAAATGCATAACTCACTCTGACTGGAGGGTCCAGCTTTTTAAAGTTGATTTCTGTACCCAGAAGAACCTCTTCATTCCTTTCATCATCTTTTTTCCTGGATTTGATGTCGGTCTTGCTTTGTGGCACTGAAGCACTCAAGAGTAAAGGCAGCTGAAATTGCCACCATGTGGCTTAAGAATGTCTGCTGCTCTCTGCAGAGCAGAGATTTAATAATGAAGGTCACCCCAGAAATTTAACAGTTAATCTTTATCTTTTCCTTCAGAATAAATGACTCTTCTTCAGAATGTAGAACTACAATGATTATTTTCATGTGTATTAAAAAAACCTCCACATTGTTACAAAATAAAATCATTGTCCTGGCCATCATTTTTACTAAATAAGTCTCAGTATTTAATCTCTTTTTTATTTGAAAAAAAAAAAAAAGAATTAATTGCGTCAGCCTACTGGCAATTATTTAAGTGAAAACATTCTCACCTGTGCTGTATCTGCCAATGTACCAGAATAAAATTTTCCCCGGAAAAGTGAAAAAAGGCTCAGAAAGCTTGACATGTACTTAG